CTGCCATATCCATCGGGTACACAACAAACCCATTCCGACCCCTCTCCGCCCTCGGCTTCACCCCCTGCCTCTGCCATTTTGCCCGCTGCCGGTTCACATCCTGTCGAACACAGTGAGCATACAAACTCAGCCCCACTTGGCGAAGTCAGTGAGAGTGAAACACACAATACAGCGGGCGAACACAGTGAGAGTGAGCAAGATGTTCTTCTCAGCGATCCCGCTCCGCCCATCGCTGCCAACGTGCTGGATGCCCAGCGCAAGGTCCTGCTGAAGACATCTGGCCACAGGCAACTCCTCGCCTGCCCATTTGGGCTTTGCAAATGCAAGGGGCCCCGCCTTGACCGCAAAGCCTGGGTCAATCATGTACTACGCGAGCACCCCTACGACGAGCAAGCCACTGATCTGGTCAAGCAGGTGATGGAGGCCAAATTGGTCGCCCAGTGCAACAAGTGTCACCTCTTCTTCGAAGCTGCTGGTATCAGTCAACACCGCTCCCGATGTGGTGCCAATCTGAAGCGAGCGACCGAGGCGTTGTTTCATGCGGCTGGACACGACCTGCTTGAGATTATGCGTGGCGCTTGGCCCCAACAGTGTGTAGGGTCTCGCATCAGTGTCTGCGAGCTGCTCAAGCTCGCCCGGCATATTAAAGGTATATGTCCAGTACAGTGTTATGTGTGTGGACAAGGCGATTGTCACAGAGGTATCCAACCAATCGAAGTGCATACGAGAACATGGATTGAAGCAAGGCGAAGGAACAAGACAGAACAAGACAGAACGAGGGAAGTGGAACGACCGAGGTCAAGAAGGAAAATGGTACCGATCCAGGGAGATCGCTCCCATTTATAGCAGGTGGAAACACACACACAGTGGAGACAGAGAATGGACTATCACACTGAAGACAGGTGGAAGCGATATCAGCAATCTGTTGGGACCAACAGATGCCACAACAAGATGATACACCAAGATGGTACAGCAAGATGTTACACAACAAGGTGGGACAACATCAAGTACCAGAGGACACACAACGTGGTAAAGTATACCGTCTCAGATTGTGCCTCTAATACTCCCCTTNCA